GGGGGATAACTATTCTGTATAATGGTGGAGAGAATAACCATGAGGGATAATGGTGGAGAGAATAACCATGAGGGATAATGGTGGGGGAATAACCATGGTGGATCCGGAAACACTTCATTCATTTCTGGGGAGGGCTGAAGGCAAGGAGGGGGTTTGGGGTGTGTCAGTGTGCATCTGTCAGTGTGTGTCTCTTACTGTCAGTGTGTCTGTGAGTGTCTCCTCCGCTCACTGACAGTCCACATCTCTCTGTTACACATAATGTGTCTCTTACTCAGACGGAACCTTTTGTGCCTGTCGGGGGAAGGGATTAGTCGGTGCACACCGAGTGCTCTGCACATTCCTCCCCCCCATGCGGTGAGAAGGTGAGCAGTACAGGAGGGGTGAGGGACACACAGGGTGCGGGTAATGCAATGACTGGGGGGGTACAGGGATGGGAATATTGAGGGTGCGGGCTCTGATCTCTCTCTGTCCTTCCAGATGCTGCCTGTAAGAGGGGAGACTCTGATCCGACACACGGCTGCCCTGTGCTGGTAAGAGTACCTGTCACTACTGACACTGCTACACTACAACTCTCAGCAAGTCTTATGTAGAGGAATATAACTCCCAGCATGTCTCCTAGCTTTAACACTGCAGGGCACCAGTACTCCCAACATATCTGCCTCTAGTGATATTACAGGAAACCACAACTTTTAGCATGTCTCTTATCTGTATTACTACCGGGGATTACAGATATTAGCGTGGAGGACTACATGTCCCAGTATATCCTCCATATAATTTCCATGATTTATATAGTGCTGACATTGCACAGAGCCTCAAAGATACATTCACACACTTATATTACTACAGGGTACTACATATCCCAGCGTGTCCTCCTACAGGGTACTACATATCCCAGCGTGTCCTCCTACAGGGCGCTACATATCCCAGCGCGTCCTCCTACAGGGCGCTACATATCCCAGCGTGTCCTCCTACAGGGCGCTACATATCCCAGCGCGTCCTCCTACAGGGCGCTACATATCCCAGCGTGTCCTCCTACAGGGCGCTACATATCCCAGCGCGTCCTCCTACAGGGCGCTACATATCTCAGCGCGTCCTCCTACAGGGCGCTACATATCTCAGCGCATCCTCCTACAGGGCGCTACATATCCCAGCGCGTCCTCCTACAGGGCGCTACATATCCCAGCGCGTCCTCCTGCCCGGGCACTACATACGCCAGGATGTCCTCCTGCCCGGGGACTACATATCACAGCGTGTCCTCCTGCCTGGGCACTACATATCCCAGCGTGTCCTGCCTGGGCACTACATATCCCAGCGTGTCCTGCCTGGGCACTACATATCCCAGCGTGTCCTCCTGCCTGGGCACTACATATCCCAGCATGTCCTCCATCTGTCCTTGTACTATAATAGGGCCATACAAACCCTCCTATATCCTCCTTTTAAAGCAATGCTCCCGTAGGAGGACTACATTCCCCATTTATACTACTATTGCAGGGAGAATACAGTTCCCCACATGCCTCCCCTATCCTCCCATATGGCACTACATATTGCAGCCTGTCCTCCATCTGTCCTCATACTGGGCACTACATATTCCAGCATTTCCTCCATGTCTCCACCTGCTATAGGCACTATGAATAGTACGCTGGTGGTCAGTGAAGGACCCTAGTACGCTGGTGGTCAGTGAAGGACCCTAGTCCGCTGGTGGTCAGTGAAGGACCCTAGTACGCTGGTGGTCAGTGAAGGACCCTAGTACGCTGGTGGTCAGTGAAGGACCCTAGTACGCTGGTGGTCAGTGAAGGACCCTAGTACGCTGGTGGTCAGTGAAGGACCCTAGTACGCTGGTGGTCAGTGAAGGACCCTAGTACGCTGGTGGTCAGTGAAGGACCCTAGTACGCTGGTGGTCAGTGAAGGACCCTAGTACGCTGGTGGTCAGTGAAGGACCCTAGTACGCTGGTGGTCAGTGAAGGACCCTAGTACGCTGGTGGTCAGTGAAGGACCCTAGTACGCTGGTGGTCAGTGAAGGACCCTAGTACGCTGGTGGTCAGTGAAGGACCCTAGTACGCTGGTGGTCAGTGAAGGACCCTAGTACGCTGGTGGTCAGTGAAGGACCCTAGTACGCTGGTGGTCAGTGAAGGACCCTAGTACGCTGGTGGTCAGTGAAGGACCCTAGTACGCTGGTGGTCAGTGAAGGACCCTAGTACGCTGGTGGTCAGTGAAGGACCCTAGTACGCTGGTGGTCAGTGAAGGACCCTAGTACGCTGGTGGTCAGTGAAGGACCCTAGTACGCTGGTGGTCAGTGAAGGACCCTAGTACGCTGGTGGTCAGTGAAGGACCCTAGTACGCTGGTGGTCAGTGAAGGACCCTAGTACGCTGGTGGTCAGTGAAGGACCCTAGTACGCTGGTGGTCAGTGAAGGACCCTAGTACGCTGGTGGTCAGTGAAGGACCCTAGTACGCTGGTGGTCAGTGAAGGACCCTAGTACGCTGGTGGTCAGTGAAGGACCCTAGTACGCTGGTGGTCAGTGAAGGACCCTAGTACGCTGGTGGTCAGTGAAGGACCCTAGTACGCTGGTGGTCAGTGAAGGACCCTAGTACGCTGGTGGTCAGTGAAGGACCCTAGTACGCTGGTGGTCAGTGAAGGACCCTAGTACGCTGGTGGTCAGTGAAGGACCCTAGTACGCTGGTGGTCAGTGAAGGACCCTAGTACGCTGGTGGTCAGTGAAGGACCCTAGTACGCTGGTGGTCAGTGAAGGACCCTAGTACGCTGGTGGTCAGTGAAGGACCCTAGTACGCTGGTGGTCAGTGAAGGACCCTAGTACGCTGGTGGTCAGTGAAGGACCCTAGTACGCTGGTGGTCAGTGAAGGACCCTAGTACGCTGGTGGTCAGTGAAGGACCCTAGTACGTTGGTGGTCAGTGAAGGACCCTAGTACGCTGGTTGTCAGTGGGAAGACTGCACCTAAGATTGGTGGTCAGTGGGGAGAACGCCCCCCTTACAGATAACTGAAATATCCCTAATATGTATTTTATTGGTTTTCCAGTCGGATTGCAGGCAGCAGCGGTCTTCTGTGCCGGGACTCGGGTAAGTTCAGTGATGGCGTTATATGAATCTGTATATTACAGGGAGCTTCCACCCTGAATAATAACTTCAGACCTTCTCCTGACCTCAGGGGGTGCGCTGTTATGGTATCCCTAAGGCAGTGTTTTTCAACCTTTTTTGTGCAAAGTCACACTTTTTTCATGAAAAAAATCACGAGGCACACCACCATTAGAAAATGTTAAAAAAATTTACCTCTGTGCCTATATTGACTATATATAAAGTAATTCTCTTGAATAGGAATCAAATAAACACAAATAAGTTATGTCACCGGATCTCCGACGGAAGACCCGGAAGCCGGCGGAGAGGTGAGTAACTTTGATCGATCAAAATAATTTTGATCGATCAAAGAAATTAACGATTTATTGACGGCACACCAGAAAACATCTCACGGCACACTAGTGTGCCGCGGCACAGTGGTTGAAAAACACTGCCCTAAGGTCCATATTACACTCTAGACCTTGTCAACGGAAGCAACTTGCCAGTGACCGGATCACTGACAGAGCAGAGACAGTGACATACCTTCGTCACTGAGCGAGCCAATTAGCACCGCTGCCTCTAATTTCACTAGCTTTGGTGATGTCACATCTGTGCTGCTCACTGTTCTCCTTGCTGGAGAGGAAGCTGTACCTGAGGAGCTGCAGTGCAAGGATCTCCCTGCTTCTTCACCCATTCCATGAATCTGTGCTCCCTCCACTTTTCCTGCTGCTTCTTGTATATTACCCCAATCAGCCATCAGGTTTGGTGGGGGGGGGGCGGGGGGGGCAGCTCTGACATGAGGAAACAAAGCCCTGCCTCTACCAAGATGGGCGCCTCCACACGGAGAGACAGTGTAGAACAAGGCATTGGAAGTAGTAATGGGGCTAAAATCGTCTGCAGGGAGACCGCAGGCAATACTGGTGACTGGTCGTCTGCTCTCTGCTTGACTTTCTTTGTATGCATCTTCCACAGCTCAGGTCCTCTTTAATGTTCCTTCAGCCCAAAATTGTGGCTACGGACACCCGTAGGCTGCACCGCAAACTGTATCAATGTTTCATTTGTCTTGTATTGTGTTATGAGGATTTTTTTTGTGGTTTCTCTTGATGTCATTTTTCTGTTTTCAGGTCAATCTATGATTAATGGCAGTAAACTTTTTGTATTTCAGGGTTTCAGAATCAGGACAGTAAAAGATGTTACCGCGCAGTACCTACGCATGGCATCGGCAGATACCGACACTTGCTGCCCCCCGAAGTCGTAAGGAGCTTAATGTTTCCCCCCTAACAGGGGTCTTGCATCTAAAACAGTCAACCTCAGTACTCCAGCTGCATCTGGGAGTCATGCCTTTGGCTTCCAGAGTCTCGCAATGCCTCATGGGACTTGTAGTTCCACGGCAGCTGGAGTATCAAGGTTGCCTAACCCTGGTATATACTTAAAGATAAAGCTTATCTCAGGGGTAAAAACTCCCCTTTGCAGGTTGGGCTATCCCCGCACTGCAAGGGTTACCTGCTTGTTGCTGTCTAGAGTACCTGTGTAATGCAGTTTTACGTACCTGATCCCCGCTCTCCAGCAGTGGGCACTGACCTTGTCTCCCGTACACTCCGGCTTGTGGACTGTCCTATGGCATCCTTAGATATAATGCAGGGCCCAGCATTGTACATGATGATGTCTGCCGGCCTTGAGTCTTGGCGCCAGCAGGAGCAGGGATAAGGTAAGTAAAAGTCCTTTACACTGCTACCCCAAACATAAACAGACAATTAACCCTTGCAGTGCGGGGGAAACATAGTGCTAGACTTTGAATATTAAAGCAGAGTAAAGAAGATGAAAACCCAATCGCACACAAACTTTAACATGTGCAAGCAGGGCAGCCATCAGAAATGTTAGGGCCACTTACAGGGCTTTAGGCCGGGCCCGCGCCGCTGGACGCAGGGCTTAGTGACGCGCTGGACACAGGACCCACCTGAGAATGACCCTGCAGAGCCCACCATAGATGCTGCACAGCCCATCTGAGACTCTCTATGGTGGGCTCTGAAGGGGTCTCAGGTTGGCTGGTCAGGGCTGCATCCCTCCCTCCCTTCCTTCCTAGCTCCTCTTACCTGCACACACGGCCTCGTCTGCCTCCGGACCGGCCAGAAGTGACGTCACTTCCAGCCAGTCCGACATCAGATGAGCATCGTCGCTGATGGGCCCCTAGCTTGTCTCAAAGCCACTGGAGCGGCAATGCTGGGGCCTTAGCTTGTCTCAAAGCCACTGGAGCGGCAATGCTGGGGCCCTGCGCTGCTAGGGCCAGGCCTCCGCCTCCTCCCCCTTCACCGTCGACCTATAGTCATGTAAGGGACCCGGGCGGGCCCCCCCCAGGCTGCCCGGGCCCCTTACATGAGTATCTGCTGTACCCCCCTGATGGCTGCCCTGTGTGCAAGTAATTTCAAATAGTCATTAAATCTGCAGCTTTCATTCCGTAATCCCCGGTGATCCTGCCATGAAGGTTCTTGTTCAGACACTTCGTGTTAAAGGGCGACAACGCTCCATCCCTGTTTTCCAGTTTTGCTCATGTGTTGTCACCCTGTCACATGCGCTTCTGATGGATACTACAAGTGGCGGTTTTAAAACATGGTCATTGTCAACTGCTGTCATCATCAGAAACCAGCCCAGAGAAATGACATGCAGCCATCGCTGGAATGCCTATAGACATGGCTGCAGGGGATCAGCTGTACTGTCACTGTACTGTATCTGAGGAGGAACATCATTGTCACCCTAAGACAGGGAGTATGTTACTACAGAACCCCTTCCCTTCTCATCTGCTTAACGTGGGATGGGGGGCTTTTAAAGCCCATCAAGGAAGAACTCGGGCAGGACAGCTTGGTATTTCAGTGCAGCGGATGCATTGTGTTTGTCATCTCACTACAGGAAGTGAGGAGCTCGCTGGATTCTGTCTGATCTGTTTTGCTGTACTTGCAGTGTTTTTAAAGGGAAGTGTTCATGTATTGCAGAGATTTACTATATTTATTTATTTTTTTTGCCCAAACATTCACTTTGATGTCTGAATTATTCTCCCCAGGATAAAAAAAAGAGTAAACTACAGAAGGTGATTAAACAAGGCACGGACTCTGAATACGGCACCCTGAACTTCCAGGTGTCCGGGTACAACATGGTCTACGTAGAAAGCTTTGCGCGGTACATTCATAAATACTTTAACCAGATGTCCATCACCGTGGAGGAGAGGTGAGTCCTCGGTCATGTGTCATGGCTGGCAGCTCACATAGACATCCATTATCACAGTCTCTGGACAGGCGGGAGG